ACACACACACACACACACACACACACACACACACACAGAGAGAGAGAGAGAGAGAGAGAGAGAGAGAGAGAGAGAGAGAGAGAGAGAGAGAGCACCAAACAGGTCAAACATGCAGCGTTCGACATATTTCCCCCCAGTAAAGGAGCCAAAAGAAACCCTACCACTTTCCAGCAAAATGACGCATTTCAACGAAGGGGTCCTTTTCCTCAAAACACATCGAACATGCAGCCCTTCGAAATATGTTCCCCCAGAAATGGAGCCAAAAGAAACACTACCACCTTTCTGCAAAATTACACATGTCACCGAAAGGGGTCCCTTTCCTCCTGTAAGCAATCAACAATAGAGTGAGTGAAGTGATGAGCTTGCCGGTTGATGTTCAGCAATGTCTTGTGGCCAGTAGACCACACAGTAATATATTGGTTGTATATATTCCCAGATTGAAGGCATACCAACTCTGCCTAGCGAATCTGGCCAGAAGGACAGCCACATGCATCCTGGAATGTCTCACGGTGAGTAGGCCCTGAAAACACAACACTCAGGGCATACTCAGACTGGGACCTAAAATCCCAAATTCCCCAAAAGAAAGGGTAGAGGGCCGGTCACACAGGTTTGCCAAAATACCAAGTGTACTATTTGTGTGCCCATTTGTCAGCGGCGTGGGAACCCGTAGGGCAAGGGAATTTGCGGTCAACTCTGGAGGTGACCACAAATGCCCTATTTTTTTCCCCGCATTTTCTTCAAAAATTGGCAAAAATTCGTTCACAAAAGCTCTTGCACAATTTGTGGATGGCCCCGTGTGACCAGCAAAGCCGCGACCTTGTCCCGTCCGAAAAGGTACAGCAGTCCGACCCGAAGCATGCCCAAAACCTCAAATAGGCCCTTCCCAAATCCCATATTTTGTGGATTTAGGGTGGCAGTGTGAGTATTCCCTCACACTGGGGGCTTTGCTTGTTGTCTCTGATCGACATGAAGACCAGATTCGGTCCGAAAAGTTATATTTTGAAATGCCACGAGGCTTTGCACCTTGAGATGAGTTGAGGCACAATGAAGATGTGCAATGAAGCGACTTTAGGAGACTTCACAAGTGGTAGGGTAGGGATATAAGTCGCTCTGGCTAGGGTGAGTTCTGCCTAGCCTTGGGTAAGCTAGGGGAAGGACGGTAGAATGTGTCCACGGGCGCTGGCCTGCCTTGCCTAGGTAATCCTGCTGGGTAGACTCTCTGAATCGGGCCTGTAGAAGATATTCCATGAGCCTGGCGTCCGAAGTTCCCGTACTGCACGTTACGTCCACTTTCGCTTCCACTAGGGCTGGGAGGTCGGCCCAGCCTTGGTGCTTGTCACTGCTGTCTGGTCCAAGCTGCCCTCGATACTGGTAGGGTGATGGTCCTGAGTAGGATAGTAGGAACAGGGGGTGCGCTGGGAGGGTAGGTGGCCTATAGTGTCAGGACAACCATTGGCTGCTGCTACCAGCAATCACCGTGGGTCTGGTCCTTGGCCTGTACAACACCTTGGGCTTAAGAAAAAAAAAAAAAAAAAGGAGACTTCACAAATGGAAGAAAAAAAGAACAACCGACAACGCAAGGAAAAGCAACAGTTGCCAAACTTGGACCTTGCCACACCACTTTGGACATTCCGACATTGGTTTCAAGACAGGAAATGGGATCCAACCCAAACTCTCAGTCCTGACAGGCAAAACAAAAGGGAAAAAAAAACAAAAAATCCTGACCGAAAACAAA